TGTATAATTTATCAGTAAGCAATAGCTGATGAGACGCTAACATATAAGATTTATGTTAAAGCACAGACTCATACTTGTCAAAAGAGATTAGTTCTTTAGGTAAAAAAAAAGTGGAAGAGGAGGATGTAAATGAAAGTAAAATACACGATAAATGGAATGTCGTGGATGCTACTAATCGTCAGGGATTCATCTCATTCTTGCAACTTTGACATATCTTTCAGAAATTCACACATTTCTTGGATTGTCTTATTGATGTGGGATCAAGGAAAATTTAGCGTACCTCGAGCGTACCATCTTTCTAGTCTTAACAATCATACTGCGATCAAACAAGGTTCAATCCTGTCCACTTATCAAGATTATCACCGATGTATTTTCAGTGCTAATACTAGCGTTACCTTCCAAAAATCACACGCACATTGTCATTTAAAAATATTAGGTGTGAGTCACGAATAATTTTTTATTTATCAACCTGTTCTGGAGTAAATAAGAGACACCGGTAACACATATTAATATCCCACCCAATCACCATGAAAGGAATGCGACACTAGTTGTATGAAATTAGGATTAAAAGGCTTCATGTGAATGAAAATGAAGAATTGGAAGGGTTGAAAACAAAAAAAAACCGTTGAGGTGAAAAACATGAACTGAAATATGAAGCGAAGAAAAAAAAAATTTTTTTTCTTAAAACAGAAGAAAAATTGTTTGCCGATTTGAAGTGAATTTGAGTAAAGTCAAAAGAGTTTGTAAAACTGAAAGAATTAGCAAAGTTTTGTAAACATGCAACTGGACAGGGAATAGTTATTGACAGAGAAAATTCTTGCAGTTGTCAAAAGAAGAAATATCAAAGACTGCAGAAAATAGTAGCTTAAAAAAACGCAGAAAAATGTCCAAGAAAAAAGTATTGAGGCAAAAAATGGCCCTTAAATTATAAACAAGTTTACCGGTTTTTTCCTTCTTTTTTTCTTTCCCCTCAACTGACAGATTGCCGTATATCCTAGGCCTAGGCTAAATGAGCGAAGAACCGTATCAAAGAATATATATATATATATATATATATATATATATATATATATATATATATATATATAAATATATATATATAATTAAATACGGCAATAAAGATGTAGAAGACTCCTGAACAGGGTCGGGTGTGCTGCAGATATGTGTATGGTCGAGGAGGCCATCAACTCATATAAAAATCTCACCCCAATAGTCATCATCATAGTTTTCGAAAACGATGAAATTAATCGATTGAAGCAGTTCCTCTCTTTATAGGGCGTTAAAACTTACATATCCCTGGGACATTGGCGGTCTCTCTTAGAAGGTTCTATCAAGAATGAGACGGGCCAAGGGTCAATGGGAGAGGCTGTTGGTGTCTTTTCACCGACCATGTTTAATGCAGATTTCCAACCCTAATCGGACTGATCATGGCACACTGGTGAGCTAGTTTAAATGCTCGAGTCCTGGGGTCGGAGACTAGCAGGGCGAGTCTCGCTTACGATCTTCAGCGTCTTGGTGTATACAGGAGACCCGGTTTTCAATTCGCGACCATGAATACATTTTGTCTGGCAGGTTTGTTCTCTATTCAGCATGATCTGATAGATAGTAGATAGGTGTTTCTGGCTAGTGAGCAAGTATTTGAATGCGGTTTGTGTTTTTGTCTTTGCAGATCCGGCGGACAGGATTTGCACGCTGGATGCCATCATAAAGTATAAGTCTCTTCTCTCATTGGGGTTAATGCGCCCAATGTGTGGCGCGGCCTGATTTGTTTCGGCGGATTGAGATGTCTAGTCGGGTAGTTTTAACGGGCAATTTGAATGCTCTTCTTGACCCCGATAAAGATCGGGTACTAACAACCCGGATGTTAAGCCATTTCGTGACTTCGATAAGTATCGTAATGAGGACCCACCAGAACGTAGTGTGGATTTTGGTGGCGATTAAATCCTGTGATACGAGGGATATAGCCTTATCTAGGGCGGAGCTGGCCTCCATGTTTATCAAGGAAGATTATGCTCGTAGTTATGGGTAGGTTAAAAAGAATCTCTCATGAGACATCGAATATAGCCACTAAACTGCGTGCAGAAGAAGTTAGAATGCACCCAATAGGCATATCGCCTGTGTCGCATTGCCGGATAAGCGGACTGTGACTATAAGCGGAGTCATATGTCAGTCTTCTCGCGATTACTTTCAGGTTCTTTTCACTAGTTAGTTTGGTCTGAGCTCTGCACAGTTTAATGCCTATTTGGCCGACTTTTCCAGACTGAAGCTGTTGGGTGTAAGAGTCAGTTACAGTAACTGAGATCTGGGAAATGCTGATGTTGGTTGGCCGGGACAAAGCTCAGGGATTAGATGGTCTTCGTTACGAACTGTACTTGGATCATTGGCCCGTTAGTGTTCCCTTGGTAGAACTCTTTTACAACAACTGGATGAAGCTGGAGTCTAGACCTCAACGCTTACTACGCAAAAGCAAGAAGGGTGGGCATGGGATAGGTAATTTTCGGCCTTTGACGATGTTAAATACAGAATTGACGATCCTCGCTGCTTGAAGACTGTCCTGACTAGTCTGACTGGACATGAGCAGACTTGTGCAGTGAAGGGTAGGATTATTCAGGACAACCTTCATTTAAAGTTGACGCTTCGGCCGTTGTACGCTCTGGCCTTCTTCAGGTGGTTGGAATTTCGAACTGAACCCTTTATTTCGCTCACTGGGGTAGATTGTTCTAGTTCCACGTGCCATTTTTAATGGATGTCACTTATCAGTTATCTCTTGTTAATTTCCCTCTGAAAGTTCTCCACTGCCATAACCGGGTATTGAACTCACACTCTTTTGGGTCGTCAAGGACACATGGCATAATGGAAGAGTGTGAGTTGTTATGTTATTATTAAGAGGGAAGATCATAGTATTTGGGGGGTATTTTTTTTACATTTTTTAACCGTTCCTAGCATGTCTGAAATTTTCGTTAAAAATCTTGTTTTTTTTTAGTCAGCAAAATTGACCATTTTTTTTCCATTTTATAAAAAAAACTCGAAATCTCACTTTGAAATTCTTTTAAATATCAATTATCATTTTTTCAAAATTTATTTTAAGGAAATCAGAAATTATAATGTTTATTTAAAATATTTTGAACCACGTTTAACTTAGCTTCTGCTCCGAAAAGATGTAATTTGAAAATAAAACAAAGCAGGTCATAAACTTTCGCGTCACTTGACAGGTGATGAATGACATATTGACGGATTCCGTGAGGATGATTTGTTCTACGGAAGGAGAAAAGTGAAATAATTTACATTTAAGTGAACAAATTATTTGCCTCGTTATTTTTAAGGAAAACTTTCAGCGCTCTAATTTTTTGTACTTAGCTTTCACCTTTACGTTTACGATACTTTATGGAAAATATATTCTAAAGAAATTAAAATGAGACTGTTAAGAGTGATATTAAATTTCATATTTCATAAGTGAATTATCTAATTAATTCACCTTTCTTATGAAATTTTATCATAGGTGTACATAAAATACTATACATTTATTACATTTTACTGTGTTATTTGTATTTCCATTCTTTTTATTATTAATTTTGATATTTCATTTATGTCATAAATGAGATTAATATAAAAATATGGTCATATAAATTTCATAAGATAATATTGATACTTGTAGGTACCCTTCTCAGTTGAAATTGAAAAATCAAATTAATTTCTCCACACGTGTTTCGCAAAAGTAAAGGCGTTAACAGCAGAGAACAATGCTTAACTCAAATAAAGTAACTTAATTGTATTCTGGTTGGTCTTCCGTACTTTATAATTACAGCCCAATTATAAACACAAAATTACATTTCTTAATTCCTGCGGATCTTCTGATTAGTCAAAATGATACAATTTACAACGTGCTAAAAATCATCTATCTCATAAGGAGACTTAGGAAACCCAATGCAACTTTTAACTAATTTTATAATATTTTAACAACTTAAATGTAAAAATCTATTATAATAACAAATAATTGTATTAAAAATTCATTTTTCATCGAAAAAATTTTTTGCTTCCAGAAAATATTGTCCATATTCATAAAAAAACAACTAAAAGCAAATAAAAGCATTTGAAATTAAATAATATCTTTGTTTTATTGAGTTTTGTATGTTACATTTCAGAGCTGATTTTCAGCTAGGGGGGTCCAATTAAAAACAAAAAAAAAACATGATTTGCATTCCTCAAAGCTTTGTGCTTTTAACTATTGTAATCACTAAACTAGACTCGATCAAATTTCTAGCGTTTTCTGCTATGACTTTAATAAAAAAAATATTTATAATAATTTCGATTATCTGTGAATAGTTTCTGAAAGTTTCATTAACATCCAACAATTATTTATATTTTTGCAAGATTTTCCAAATTAATGTGTGTCATACCGAAAAACATGTTAAAAATTGTCTATGTTATTTACTAGGTGATGCAAAGAGAAACAAGGTTTTTTTAATCAAAATTCAGAATGTTTTAAAAAGAAAGAAAATAATTAAAAAAAAATTTGGTCTTTCCTCTTAATAATAACATAAGCATTTAGACGATAAAAATTTGTTTTCGGCAAGGTTGGCGTCTTTTTCATCAAGCTATGCTCTTTTTTTAGTGATTTCGTGAACGTACCTAAGTTATATGTATGGAACAGTTACTAGGAACATTAAGTTCATTTTTAACATAATCTTCTATCTTGGAAATGCACTTAATTCAGTTGAGAATATTAATTACATAAATTGACCAATATATATTGAAAATTGTAGGTCAAAATAAAGACATGAAAAATGGATCCTCCTCGTTTGTATGTAATCATTCATGTTTTTTGGGTTTTTGTATTAATCATCCACTTGTTCTGATTTTGCCATGCGAGTTTGTGTTGTATTGATTTGACGATCTCAAGTCGAAAAGGAATTACAAAGAATATAAGAAAAATTCCACAGAAAATATCAGCAAGCATCGATATGTATTCGATTACCTAGAAGAAGATATCGAAACTTTGAATGGTTTCCATACAGATAAGCTACTCCCCGTGTTCGGCACCCTTCTCCAATTCACTCTTACCACGCACTGACAGACACGAAATAGTATCGACAGTTTACTTTAAATAATGGCCATAATAAAACATGCGAAGAAAAAGGGCGCCAAATGTAATCATCTGCTTGTTTCATTTTTGTTTCTTGTTTTGCATGCAAAATGAAAGAAATCTTGATATCTTTCTAATGAAAGAAAAACACTGAAGAAAAGTTAAAAGAAATCAAACCAAATACCCGAATTTTCTTGTATTCATATTCCTTCCCATAACATGAACATTGATTCTTTTATATTGATCTAGGCTTTAATATTCGTTTATTGTTTGTTTGAAATGTTATTGTAGCTGGCCGTAGGAATACAATTGCCCTCAGCGGAGTTGTTCAAGAGGAAGATATACCATGCAAATAACCAGGAGATGTGTGCATCCTTATCGGATCAGGATCACGCATTGGCCGTAACAAAAGAGACAAGATGAGACGCGTTGTGTTGTTGATGGCTTCAAGTAGAAAAAGTGGTTCGAAATCATATGATTCGTTATCGTTATTGCTATGGATTTCAAACTATTTGCAAGCTTTTTATACGTATCCGCCCAAGCACACGCATTTAACTCTAAATGTAAACATCTAAACAAAACTAATAAAATAGAGGCTTTAATGTGTGCGTGTATATATTAAATTGACACAAGGGCGCAATAATTCGAGTTCCATATATTAGCTAATTCGTCTGTGAGGCATGACAGGGAACCACACATGTGGACATCTAATTTACAAATAGAAAACGTCAATATTATATATTTAATTATTAAAAAAACTTTAGAAAATTTAAAAGCAGCCAATCTCTCTCTCTCTCTCTCTCTCTATATATATATATATATATATATATATATATATATATATATATATATATATATATATATATATATATATATATATATATATATATATATATATATATATATATATATTTTTATATATAGCTATATAAATAATTTGGACGTAGGAATAGTCTGAAGAGTGTTTGTGGCGTGAAACTGTCAGTCACTATGCAGAATTGATTTCTTTGTTCACTTTTCCTCTTCACTCTCCTACTCTTTCATCTATCTATCTATCTATCTATCTATCTATCTACATTGCGCAATTTTCAGACACATGGCTCGATGATTGCATTCACGCATTACCACCTACCATCACCACTTGGTGTTAACGTTAGTGCTCACTTTTACACGCTCTATCCCTGACATTGAACATTTTCACCCATAAATATAGCATACGATGAAATCAAAATGAAATAAATCTTTATTAATAAAAATGCTGATTGGAGAAATATAAAAATTATTATTCTCGCTCAGTTGACATAGATATTTAGTGTTAATGAATTTTTTTACTATTATTTTGTCTCCCTTTTAATAGAAAATAATTGACATTTTTGAAAATCTCATAGTTTGATTTCGCCAATCTTTTTCTCCCTAAAAATTACTATTATTATGCCTGTTTATTGCACAAATACAAATTGGTAAAGGTTTTCAGTGAGCTTTGAATCTACAAATGATATCTTGGATGATTATCATTTTACAAATATCCCGCCAATACTTACATTATTTCCAAGCAGGCTATTATCCCTATCTTTGTTGTTATCACAATGCTTTGGCCGTTTTATCCTCCGGCCATCATATGGTGATCTTCGGTCTGGGTAACCTTCAGTAAATTTTCCGAACCCTTTATTTAATCTATAGGGTAGATTGTTAACATTCCCCTGTCCATGTCCATGGATATCTCGAGTTATCCTGATAATGGCCGAAACATTGTGACAACAACAATAACAAAGATGGGGTCAATAGACCGCTTATAATTATATAAATAACTCCCAGAAATGCAAACATAAAATATTGAAGCGTAAATCTATATTTTTGCCTCTTTCTCATTTCTTTCTTTCTTTCTTTCTTTCTTTCTTTCTTTCTTTCTTTTCTTTCTTTCTTTCTTTCCACATTAACGAGCGAACCACTAACTCCACTCCCCACTGTTCCATTCCTTATAAAAAGTATGAATAAAAATTTTCAGTAGACAAGCATTCAGTCTCCACTTGGAAAATTAACCCTAAATAATCTTCTTAGCTATTTAATAATTTAGCGTACCCGTACTTCAGATATATATATATATATATATTTAATTATATATATATATATATATATATATATATATATATATATATATATATATATATATATAAATATTTAAATATTTCACGTCCTCTGGTAAGCTGTGGTAATAGATTGACAACTACTACATCGGCAGTTACGCCAGTTCTCAAGTATTCTATTGCAGTTAGCCATCGTGGTACGTCAAGGACGAGATATTTTATCATGACACCAGGTGATAACATACTACTTCTCCAAGGGTATTGAATTTAACCTGTGTCAACTCGTCTCGCACGGTGAATTCAAGAACTACACGGTTCAGTTTCGATTTGTGTTTAACTTTAGAATGATCCAGGAAAGAAAAAAAAATGTAGGCGGGTTACTTTTGGGCTTGAGTCAAATAAGTAGCGAATGGTTTTCAGGGTTTGGCTTCTTTAAAATCAGAAGGACGAAACAATCAGACGACGATTTCTTCATCTGTCTCTTCATTTCAGCTGAAAAATATGGAAGCAGATTATGACTAAATCAAAAGTATTGGATCGATGTTTACAATGTATAATGGGACAGGAGATAAAATCAGTACGGAAATAAATTGAACAAGACGGAAAGATTTGTACTTGGGAATGAACATAGGCAAACGGACATAAAGATTACGATTGTTAGAAGAAGAAACGATAAAAAGTGATAAATGCCTGGATAAGTGGAGAGAAATCATAACAAAGACTATTACACAAAGCAGGACGAACGCAGATCTATCTTTTGTTGTGTAATTATATATATATATATATATATATATATATATATATATATATATATATATATATATATATATATATATGCTCTCGAAATAATTCGATTGAGCTCTTGGAGAAAAAAGGGTGATTTTATAAAACGTGGCTGCTGCTGCTAATGCAATGGTCTTCAAGTAGAATCGAACTCTCCTAGCCACTGGCCTTTTTTGCATACTAAAAACGACGATAGCCTGTGGGTAGAAAATCTGACTGATGCCAAACCGGTCGGGTTTTGATCCCGGCTTGAAATAATCGGATGTCTAGCTGTCTGTTGAGCTGTGATACTATATATATATATATATATATATATATATATATATATATATATATATATATATATATATATATATATATATATATATATATATATATATATATATATATATATATATATATACGTGTTAATAAATCAATAATTTATTCATCCAACAAAATTTTTAATATCTAAAATACCACTAAGTCAATCGAGTTTTTCCCAGGTTTTCAAATAAGACGTTGATATATCTTGACATCATTTGTTGTAAGAATCAGTGAAAAGTCATTCAGCTAAAATGAGAGCAGCTTAAATTTGTTTTGTGTTAACGCCACTGTCTTCCTAATTGAGTAATGGCGAGAGGAAAAAGATCATTCAGGCCTTCAGTAATGGTGCCAACATTTATACTCTGGCTTCCATCTTCAAAGTCCAGTCAAGAACGATCAAGAGGACGGTGAATAAGGCTTAGAAAGAGGAAAAAGAAGAGAGAAAACCCGGATCCTGAGGTCACAACAGGAAGAGGGATTATCATTTCAACTTAGTGACAAAGAGATCAATTAGAAAAGATCCAACTCAATTCATAAGACGTTTGACATGTGAGAAAGGAGTTTCTAGTATAACAATCCAAAGAGTAGTAAAAAAAGACTTGAAAATGAAATCGTACGCGAAACCTGTGATGCAACTTGTTACTCCAGAACAGAAAGTTAGAAGCTTAAACAGGGCGAAGATCATCTTGAATAAGTTGGAAAAAGATCCTGGAATAATATATTTGAACTTTATTTCAATCCTTCATGAGCTTCCGATCCTTAGCTATTATTAATTGATGTTGAACATGTTATTTTCGTTTATGATCGATTTCATCACGATATTGCTGTGAAGCATAGACAGTAATTATGCATTCTTATTGCTGAAAGTAGAGGTCAATACTGTTATAAAAACTCCGGCGAATTCCTGTAAGATATCTTTAATCACTTCTAAGATACAATGGTTCAAAGCTTAATCTAACAATTGGACACTTTTGCAGTTATACGATTTAGACAATTTCAAAAACTTCCAATTTTCGGTAATATATCGCACCGAGAACCTTTCGTGACACTCTTGTATATATATATATATATATATATATATATATATACAAGTTTCATTAAAACCATTGACAAGTTACTGCGTTTAAGATTTTTATTTAATTTTTCCTATTTTAGTTTAAGTAATTTCTTTTCTGCACTAATCATAAAAAAGAAAAAGCCAACACTCCATAACATCAACTATGAACACCATAACAATGGGATTATCTTGCTTGGAAAATAAAAAATAAATCTCATGTCACTGGAAACATATATAACAATCTACATATTCTGTTAAAAATTAAAAAAAAAGAAAACATCCTTGATAATCTCTAACAGAATCACCAAAATCGCTGGGATATATAGAATATTCAGACAATTTTGACACACTTTATATTCAGAAAAATCCCTTCTGCCAATACAAGAAGAATTGAATAAAAAGTTTAATCATAGTACCTTGTCAGTCTTTAATGAGACATATAAAAAAGGAATTGCTGGGAAAATCCATATATATATATATATATATATATATATATATATATATATATATATATATATATATATATATTCTTGAGAGAACTGAGAATAGAAGAAATGAAAAGAACAAGGTAAAATGAGTATGGAAGAAAAGTATTTGAAGCAGAAGAAAGAATCATAAAATGTAAAAAAACAAAACGGCATCTGGAAATAAAGGAGCAGTATGCAAAGAATAAACTGGAAACGGTATTCTGGTGGCTTTTTTCCACTTGGACACATCGAAATCCCACTTGTTGTGTTCAATCCAAATCTCTGGATATGTTAGATTATTGAAAAGGAAGAAGTAAAAGAATCATTGTGAAATTGGTCGACTCTTTTGCTAGCTGAGTTATCGGCCTTGCTCGACCTGCATCGACCTGTGAACACAGCTGACGAATACCAGGCATTTCCTTTTTCCATACACTTTATGATCTTTTTTGCCATCAAGGGGAAATAATGGTTCCTTTTAAAGTATTAACACCCTTTCTTTTTTTATTCCCTCTCCTCTTTTTGTTTTTCTTCTACATTTATAGCCTTTATTTACTGGCCGTGACATTTCTACGACAATTTTATTGTATTCTTTTTATTTTATCTGCCTATTTCGTCATCCTATTTTATATTTCTTTCATTCTTTTTCTTCCATTTTCTTTCTTCTTTTTTTGCTTTCTTTCTTCCTTATTTTTCTTTATTCACATTTCGACGTTTTTATTACTGCTTCTTCTTTTCTTTTTCTCTCTTTTGTTCTTCTTCCCTGTTTCTTTTCGTCTTTTTCTTTTTTCCTTGTTTTCAGCGTTAATCTATTTTTCTTTCCCCTTTTCTCATTCCTTCGCCTTTTCCGTCCAAATATTCTTTGAATTTGAGTCTCTTGTTTCAAAAATTTCGGTTAAAGTTCCTTTTCTCGATATTGTGTGATTTCGATCTTTTCTAACTTTTCGGTTTTCTTCAATTCGCTTTTGTCGTTTCTGTTTGTCTTTCTGAATTGCGATTTAATGTTTCGATTCTGTAGTTTTTCATCCATTTTCTAAATACGAGACATTGCCGTTTTTTTTTTTAAATCCTCTTACATCCTTTTAAAATCTCTTGTTTTCTCTCCCTTTTTACTTGCCTCAGTCTGTCATTATTTTTTCTTATTACAAATTTGCAAATCTTGCACTTACGTTTTCGAACTGATTTTCAAAAAGCTGTGTCTTTCCTCATCCTCTTTCATTATTTTCTTTCTTGATGTTTTTTCTTTGCCTTCTCCCCGCTTTCTTTACTTTCTACTTCTTTCTTTCCTTTCCTCATTTTCGTTCCTCTTTACTTCCTCTTTATTTCTTTCACGGCTTGCGCGTCATCTTTTAATACAGTTACTTTATTCGTTCAGTCATTTCTTTCTCTCTATTCTCTCTCTCTCTCCCTGTCTCCTCTTCTTTCTTCTCATTTGTTTAGTTTTTTCTCTATTTTCTTTTTCTCATCTTCAATCCTTTAATAAAACCTTTTCTTCTTTGCGATATCAAAAGACAAATAATTACTTTTCTCTACCGCTTTCAATTTAATCTTCCTCCTTCCTATTATCCAGTTAATCTTTTCTCCTTCCCTTTTTATAACTTTAGAATTGGCCACACTTTGCCAGATTTGCAATCGAATTTGCCGTTGACCATAAGTTTGCACAAAGAATGCTTAAAAGATTTTATTGAGACTCATGCGAACGCCGGACAGTTTGAAAGACCAGCACTGGACAATGGCCAGTCGCAACCTCATTTCTAAACTGACAATTACTTCTATTATTCTTCGCCTTATTTTCGAAACAATTTTTCTTGATGCCCTCTTTTACATTTATTATAAATCTAGTGCACACGATTATGACAAGCAATCGATATACGATAACAGTGAGAAGCTATCTTGTAAACAAATTGTTACACACATCTAACTCCCATGGAGACACACACTGAGGAGTTCTGTTATAAAATTGCTTTACAAAAATATCTATCTATCTATCTATATATATATATATATATATCTATATATATATATATATATATATATATATATATATATATCACATACAGGGTGTGATGGATAAATTGTCGACTAAATGACACAAAATTGAAAACAAAACTGGTATCTCATTTTAACAGATACGTTTACCAAAATTACGCAATTTGTTCAACAAAATCGCCATTAGCTTCAACCACGGCCTCTAGACGACTTCAGAATTTCCCACAACTCTTCTGGACGTTCTCCTTGTTTAAGTCTGTAAATGCTGCCATAATCCTTGTCTTCAGTTCATCTTTGGTGTTACAGGAGTTTTGTTGTTCTCTCGCTCCCACACATAATAATCAAGGTGTTTGCAGTTTGGAGAGTTAGGTGGCCAGATGTAAGGTGTGATGAGGTTGTAGAAATTGTCTGACAGTCATGACTGGGTTCTCCTGCTTCAGTCCTGTTTCTAGACATACGGTCTTCCAGTAACCAAACTCTTTAGGCAGCGCAGCACTACATTCTCAAAGAACTTGATATAGACTCATCCAACTCTTTCCGAATCCTCTGCACTGTCCTCAGATTGACACCGAAACTCTGTAAAATATTCGTATTGGAACTTCCGTCGCGAATGCCAAGCAGTACAGCATACCTTTTCCAAATTTCTGGCGGAATGAATTGCGTCATGGTGCTCTTTTTCTTACAGATGATACACAGCTAACCCTACTATATTGTACAGTCAATAAAATCAAAAAACAACAACGCGCATGCATGAAATTAAAAATATAAAATGCCTTTGTCAAGTTCTTCAACGCCTTTATCCACTGTGCCATGTGTCGCCAGGACACATGACACAGTGGATAAAACGTTGATTAGATAATACTTGTTTAAATATATATATATATATTTATATATATATATATATATATATATATATATATATATTATGAATTTATTAATTTAAAAATATGGTTCTATCACTACACAGGAATTACCATGTTTCAAAAACATAAACTAAAACATTTCAAATTTAATAATAGAATTAAATGAAAATCCCTAGTACTGTTTCATTTTCAAGCGAATTTTGGCATAACTTTTTTTGAAATTTACTGAGTTTTATAAGCACATACATTCTTAATATGAGTTTCTAAGGATACGGAGAAATCCAATCATTTTAACAAGGGTTGGTAGGGTATTGACTTTCACTGACAACTATTGTATCAAAATATAAGTTACTTTCGAAAAGAAGTTAAGGTAGATTAGGGGTGCCTGTTCTACAAATGATGACATCCGTTTTCTTCTGTTTTTCTTTTCAATGACAAAAAGGTTTTCGGCACTTATTGTTTTGCCGTTAAATTTTTAATTGTATACATAAAGATTTTTTTCCAAAAGGCCTGTTTGAATATAAGTACGTCGTATTAAAATAAAATTTTAAAACACTATTCGTAATTCTAATTACTTATAGACCATACTTTTTTTAAAAAAAAAAAAAGCGGCTCGGATTGAGGAATCGGAGAGCCAAGTTCGAATTCCAGTTACATTCGCTAACGTGCTAATACCCTTGGGAAAGGTATGGGTCTCTTCCCCCATCCCAGTTATGGGTAAATAGCAGGAGAGACCTTGGATGGCATCTGGTCTACCGCAGAAAGAAATGGCAACCTAAAAATCTGCCTCGTCAGTCATGTATCGAAGGATACACGATCGCCTAAGCATGTATCACGCACGGCACATGACTGACTATCTATCACTATTATTATTGTTATTGTTTTTGTTGGACTCTGTGCTTAAGTTATGAACTAAACTTGTCATGTATATATAAAGGAAAACAAATCGTATATAAATAGTTTTTTTAATGTCCGTTGTGTAATAGAACCACTAGTAATCTTGGACATATCTCCGTTTAAAAGGAAAGGCTGCTGTATAAACAATAAAAATAATTTTGTAAGAAATAATAACAGATTTGATAAATAACAATTAAAAATATTTTTGTTGAATCGAATGAAATTTCTGTTCAGGAGTTAAATGAGATAAGTTTGAAGAATTGTTGTTCTTATGGAAACCAGAATTTTAAAAAAATAACAAAATCGAAATCCTGCTAAGTTATAATGCTTGCAAAAGATACGAATCCATATTATTCGGCACATTTTCTGAAATGCCTAATCACTAGCAGAGACCAGTGACTGACGTAGAGAAAAATGTCTAGATGAAAACTTACATAAACCACAATCCCATAACTATTACTAGTATTAGACAAAGCTGTTACTCCTCATGATAACCTTAACCAAGCACTTAATCAATAAATACATTGCTCGTTTTTATTTTTCCCTTTGAGGAAACGAATATGGAACTCAGTATTAACCTAAATGTATTTTCCTGATAATCTGCCAAACTTCAATGATCCATTGAAATCCTTATTTCAAATTTAATTTTGAATGTCATCTTGCCAATCAGTTGGCAAACAGGTTTTCTTGAATTGTTTCCAAGATCTTTGATTTGAATTTCATTCATCAATTTGCGTTTCATTCTTGGTCGGACATTTGACCCAATCATCCCCTAACAGTTTCATTTTATTTCTTCACCCTCCCATCTTCATTACCGACCCCCCACCCCGACCCGCTTGTTTGACTATCAGATGCTACTTGGTCATTTGGGTTCAAATCCGACGCTTATATCGATAGCGTAATGAAAAGGTGTTTGCAGTTATTGATTGCTATCCACTTCTTGTCGCCATGTCTCTCTGTCACAACGCATGTCGAATGACAATATATTCCAGAAGACTGAGACATATTGATAAGTTTCTGTCTACTTTCATTCGGTTTGAAGATGGTAGCCATTCGGATAAATAGAAAGTATATTTTTAAAAAGCAAGTATTTCACTTCTAAACAAAGATTTTTCCATATTAAATGTTGGTGAGATACTACACCAGACTCACCTATAGTTTTCTCGTAATTTTACATCATTTGTAAAATTGTACACTTTTAGAAGCAACAGAAAATGGATGCCTGCTTTCCTAATTAGAATTGATGCAAATTGATGAATAGAATATTTATCTTGAAAACCATCGTTAGGAAGTTTCTTCTTAAATACTTTATGAATCAGTATTTACTCATCCCTCAAAAGATATTTTTAATTTTTGCTCTCTGACAAGTCAACATGTAATGACTCATTTAGAGAAACATTTACAAATTTTAGACAAGTCTGCCAGGGTGTAAACATTGAAAATTCAAGTAATAACCAATTCGACAATCTTTTCCCGAAAAGCGACGGTATGCATTTGTCTTTTTTTTCTTTAGTAAAGGTTAATATTTTTGCCATTGATCCACAGTTAAAATTTTAATAAATCGGATTAACACAAGTGAATAGATATTCACTTTTTAGGTCCTTGGTATAATGTGTATATTTGTGTGTGTGTGAGAGAGAGAGTGTGTGTCTCTGTATGCGGGTTTAAATCTATAGCATCCCTTAAAATTATATTTCTGCGATTCTAGTCTTAAACCAAGTTTATGCCAAGATTTATCGAATTTTACTAAATGTCAATTTCCCAACCTAGACTAAATGAAAAAAATAATAAAAAAAAAACAAGTTTCTTTTTTTTCAAATCGTATTTTATTATTTGAATGAACATCGATGAATTGATGATCCGTTAATTTTTACAGATGCAGATATCGACCCGTATTTTCATTTGGGTCCACAGAGCTAAGTGAATTAAAAAAGGAACTCACCAACGGTCATTCTAATCAAAATCCAAAGGGTCTAGATTAAAATTTTCAAAAGAAAGGAATGTAAAACAATTTTGAAGAGAACTGATATAAAAAAGGAGAGAGATTTAAATTGCAAAGCCTCTGACAATTCTGCTGTTATAAAACTAAGAGGTAATTAATTTGAAAAGAAAATGCCAGAAAAGATCCATTCTATGCTGAATTGGCTACAGAATTAGTCAGGCGATTACGCAGGGTCAAATATCGATTCATTGATTTTGTATTTGTTGGCTCCCTCAAAACTGGAATGAAAGAGATTGAAAGCGATACGTTATAGAAAAAAAAGGTCAAATAGAAAGATTCGAACACGGGACAAATGATCATTTGTCAATGAATCAAATAATTCCAGATAGGAAATCAGGACATAAACGAATCAGGACATAAACGAATCAGGACATAAACGAATCAAAGAGAAGTTTTAATTCTAAATGAAAGTTATTAAAAGACAAATACTTTCTTGATAATTGAATATGCATTATATAAAGAAACATTTCTATATGTGGAGCTTTTCATTTAAATGCATGTCTTTTAAAAAGGAATTTTAGTAATGCACTTTACTTTTAACCTAAAAGCAACACCCAACATTACATCAAAAGCAATTTTATCAGGACCTTATTTCGCGTTTATCTTCAATGAGATGAATGTTTACGTGGCGGGGTGGGGTATTCCAGAACATGACCAAACTGAATATTCTGAAGACAAACCTCAATAATTATAATAGAACTTATTTCTTTTAAATTTCTTGGAATAGTCTGATATTTGTTTTCATTATGGCTTTTGGCATCTCTGGTGGCGGTTTAGAATTCTGGCGCAGAGAGTT